TGTGTGTCCACCGAGTCACTGTCCCCCAACCCTGAGATGCTGCCCCCAATGGATCACTGCACCCCCCCAAACCTCAGGGACCCCCAAACCGCAGCCACCATTGAATCACTGCACTCCCAGATGCCACTCTCCCAAGCTCACAGGAGGTATTTTATTTAACTTGCCTCATTTAAACCCTAACGCTCCATTGGTATAACTTGGTGAGCTAAACCTGGGATGCTGTTATGCTGTACCGTGTGCTGGAATTGAGAGATCCCCTCCCACAACCATCCACTTGTTTCAGCCCTGGTTCTGGAGCTGTCCTTGGAGCCCTACCGTGCTCCAATGGTGCCTGTAACTTGCCCCAGCTGCTGCCCTTCTCTCAGCTCTGGCAGCTTGAGCAGCTCCCTGGTGTGTGGGGGACGGTGGTGTCTGGCAGTGGCCATGGTTGGAGTTAGTAACTCCTGAGACAAAATGGGGATGTTTTGTAATATTTTTATGAGGCCTGTTTGTGCTTCAGTTTCCCCCGTGGGTGGAAAGGGACTGTTTGCTCTCAGGGCAGGGTAAGCCACAGGGGTGAATAGTAACCAGCTGTTAGGGTGATCGAGGCCCACATAGACCCCATTAATGGAGCATCTGAGCAGACAGTGGCAGATCCAGGGGCCTAGACACTGACACCTAGCAGCCAAGGACCCAGAGAGAAACAGACTCCCCCGCCTCTCCACATAGGGCTGGGCTGCCTCTCCCCAGCTCGGTGAGGTGGGGGCTAAGTGCAGGCTGTGGGAAGCTCTTGGGGGCACACTGCGATGGATGTGGGATCTGAGGGATGACTGAGCTTGAACAAGAGGATTCACTACAGCTTGGGGGGTCTCTGATTACCCCCCATGGCCTATGCTTTAATCAAGTGGTTTTCAAACTTTTTTTCTGGCGACCCAGTTGACCCTGCTCCCACAGCTCGTGACCCAACAGAGCTGGGGGTGTGGGAGGGGCTCAGGGCTGGAGCAGAGGGTTGGGGTGCGTGGGTGAGGGCTGTGGGGTGGGGCCGGGGATGAGGGGTTTGGGGTGTAGGAGGGGGGCTCTGGGTTTGGGGGGGTGTTCAGGGCTGGGGCAGGGGATTGGAGTGCAGGCTTACCTTGGGCGGGTCCCGGTCAGTGGCACAGCCGGGGCTTCCTGCCTGTCCTGGCACCACAGACCGCACTGTGCCCCGGAAGTGGCCAGCAGCAGATCCAGCTCCTAGGCGGAGGCGTGCAGCTCTCACCCACAGTCACCGCCCCCCACTCGGAGCCGGTGCTTGGGGGGGGGGGGGCAGCGCGCAGAGCCCGGTGGCCCTCCCCGCCTAGGAGCCGAACCTACTGCTGGTTGCTTCCGGGGTGCAGCACGGGGTCAGAACAGGTAGTGACTAGTCTGCCTTAGCCAGGCAGCACTGCCAACAGGACTTTTAACATCCTGGTTGCGGTGCTGACCAGAGCCACTGCGACCTGGTGCCTTACATTCCGCGACCCAGTCCCTGCACTTCTACACTTCTCTCTGCTAACCTAAGGACTTCCTATGCTGTGTTCCGCATGGCTACTAACCCCTGCTGGTTTGAAAACGCTGTGAGTGGCTCCAGTGATCGCTGGAAAATGTACAAGTCTCCTTCAGGGCTCTGCCTCAGTGGGACATGCTGAAGGGAGCTCACGGGGTGAAGCAGGGGTGCTGAAGGCCCACAGGTCCAATCTAAGGGGCTGGTGAAGAGTCAGACCCCTATAAGGGTTCCTCCTACAGACTGTTTCAAAGCTGAGGCCATAGCGCTTACCCTACAGATCTGACAGCTCCCTGCTGAGCCCATAGCACACAAGGGTGGGTGGCTTTCCCCACCCCCACTCCAGCTCCTGGCATCAAGGCAGTGCTTTAACCCCAGAGACCTGGAGTCCTTGCTCTAGCAAATCTCCCCTGGTTGCACTAGAAGCTATTGGCTGCTCCCTCCCAGGGGCTCGCTGCCCATGTGGCAGTGGAGCAAGGGAAGGGGCTGGGAGGGTCCCTAGCAGGGGACTCCCCCACACATGTATTCCTGCACCTGCAGTGCATGCCCCTGAGGCTGCAGGCTACAACACATGCTGTCAGTGCATTGGGTGGAGGGGACTGGAACAGCTCCCTCACACTTCCCCAGGCGGAGATTCCTGAGCCAGCCAGCCAGCACCCCTCCCTGGGAGGATATGGGAAGCCTAGATGCCAGGTGGGGCTGTGTCCACGTTTCTGCTTTACCCATTATCTGGCAGTGAGGTTTGATGAGCCCCCCCACTCCCTAGGGGCATACACAGCTTGGGCAGGAGGACTCCATGTCCCAAAGCCACGTGAGATGCTGTTTGGTGGCCAGGCCAAGCTGTGATGCTACACAGCATGTTTTATGGTCAAAGTCCAGACTCGCAGAAACAGTTGCTGAGTGTCCCCCAAGGCCCTGGCTTCCTGGCAGACAGCATACGGCGTGCTGGCAGGGACACGTGGCCTGCTGGGCAAAGGGGGTTGTTTATTCCTGCTTGTCTGTGCTGCTGGCAGTGCTGTAGGGGAAGTGCTCCGCTCATTTGGGGATCTTCAGAAAGGGCTCGTGGAGGGTGTCAAAGAGCCTCTTGGCCTGTAAGGAAAGCAGAGGAAAGCCCTGAGCTGGTGAAGGCTGGAGCTCTGGGGTCAGCATCCTCTGGTGGGGCTTTCACCCAGGAATGCACCCAGCTGGTTCCATGCAGCCCCTTTGGTGCACAGGTAAGGCACTGGGGGAGGATGAGCGTCCAGCTGGTGCATCAGAGAGAAGTTCTCCATCCAGCTCCCACTCACCTTCTGGGGCCCGATGCCTGGGCAGAGGGAGAGATCCTCCTTGGACGCTTGTGCAATGTTCGCCAGAGACTGAAACAACAACATTCAGAGTCAGAGGTGACCCCAGAAAGCCTGGGCCACAAAGAACGACCCTTCTGGGTCCTTCCATTCGGCCCCAGCACTCTGCCCCCCACGCTCACTGGGAAGTAGTGACCCGGTCCTGCCGCCGCACTGCAGTACGGTTCGTGGGCTGGTCACACGTCTCATCCGAGGGGGGCCCCTGCAGGCTGGGAGCTATGGGAGGTCAGCAGGCCAGGCCAGTTTGCCATCCCATTCTTTCCTGCAGATCTCCAGGGGCAGCATCCTGCTCCGACAGACAGCGCTCATGCACTGCAAGGAAAGCTCAGAGACCCAGCTGGGGACCTGTCCTGGGTGAACTGATACGAAGGGAGCGATGGGCCTAAGCAGTCCCAAAAGGCAGCCAGCCCTGCTCAGAGCTAGCAGTGGCAAGGCCCAGTCTGCACCCTGATGGGCAGCAGGTGGCTCACCCCAAATGTTGAGAGAAGGCTCAGCGCGTCTGTCTTGTTAACTGACTTCACGCTGGTCAGACAATCCGTCACCTGGAAAGAGAAACAGCAGCTGCATAGAATCATAGAAGATTAGGGTTGGAAGAGAGCTCAGGAGGCCATCTAGTCCAACCCCCTGCTCAAAGCAGGACCAACCCCAACTAAATCATCCCAGCCAGGGCTTTGTCAAGCCAGGCCTTAAAATCCTCAAAGAATGGAGATTCCACCACCTCCCTAGGTAACCCATTCCAGTGCTTCACCACCCTCCTAGTGAAATAGTGCTTCCTAATACAGGTGAGTCGCATCTTACACAGAGGTTAGGTTCTGAAGTCAGCGCGTAAGGCGAAAATCACGTATAGTCAAACGCTAATTGAGTGGAATGGCGGGCGGAATCGCCCGCACTACAGGTACAATATTTAAATTGTTTTTTTGTTCTGTTTTGTTTTGCCGAGCGCGTATAGTTAAAATCGCATAAGTTAAATGTGCCTATGATGAGACTCCACAGTATCCAGCCGAGACCTCCCCCACTGCAACTTGAGACCATTGCTCCTTGTTCTGTCATCTCCCACCACTGAGAACAGCCGAGCTCCATCCTCTTTGGATCCCCCCTTCAGGTAGTTGAAGGCTGCTATCAAATCCCCCCTCACTCTTCTTTTCTGTAGATTAAATAAGACCAGTTCCCGCAGCCTCTCCTGATAAATCATGTGCCCCAGTCTCCTAATCATTTTTGTTGCCCTCCGCTGGACTCTCTCCAATTTGTCCACATCCTTTCTGTAGTGGGCACAAAACTGGACGCAATACTCAAGATGTGGCCTCACCAGTGCCAAATAGAGGGGAATATTCATTTCCCTCAATCTGCTGGCAATGCTCCTACTAATGCAGCCCAATATGCCATTAGCCTTCTTGGCAACAAAGGCACACTGCTGACTCATATCCAGCTTCTCATCCACTGTAATCCCCAGGTCCTTTTCTGCAGAACTGCTGCTTAGCCAGTCGGCCCCCAGCCTGTATCGGTGCATGGGATTCTTCCATCCTAAGTGCAGGACTCTGCACTTGTTCTTGTTGAACCTCATCATTCTTTTGGCCCAATCCTCCAATTTGTCTAGGTCACTCTGGACCCTATCCCTACCCTCCAGCGTATCTACCTCTCCCCCCAACTTAGTGTCATACATGAACTTGCTGAGGGTACAATTAATCCCATCATCCAGATCATTAATAAAAATGTTGAACAAAAGCGGCCCCAGGACTGACCCCTGGGGCACTCCGCTTGATACCGGCTGCCAACTAGACATCGAGCCGTGCAGGTGGGAGCGCCCCTCCTTGGCCGGGGGAAAGTGCACTCACACCAGTCATAAGCTTAATTCCCCTCTCCCCTTCCCACTGCATGCTGCTGAGAGACACTTCTACTACAGGAGACCTAGTGAGGACATTGCTGTGGGGAAGCTCACAGCACGGGGGTCCCTGGCACAGCACTGCTGTGGGGAAGCTCACGGCATGGGGGTCCCTGGTACGGCACTGCTGTGGGGAAGCTCATGGCATGGGGGTCCCTGGCAGGGCACTGCTGTGGGAAAGCTCAGAAGGGGGATCCGTGGCAGGGCACTGCTGTGGGAAAGCTCAGCACGAGGCCCCCAGGCAGGGCACTGCTGTGGGGAAGCTCAGCATGGGGGTCCCTGGCTGGGATGCTGCCACGGCACTGCTGCAGGGAAGCACACAGCGGGGTAGCCTTACTATGGACAGGAAGTCCTGATCCACCTTCTCCTTGAGCAGGTCAGCTGGTTTCTGCTCGTAGGCTTTGTACGTTTCCAGGTAGCGTCCGGCCTCTTCGGGGCTGAGGGGAACCGGAGACCCCAGAATTAGCTCAGGAATCATGAGACTGAGTTGAACAGGCACCGTGCACACCACGAAGGGTTAAAGCCACAGTGCTGAGCCCAGCTGGAA